TCTCTTGATGTTCCATTTAATCATTCCTTGACGCACGCAAAAGACTACCAGTACCCTAAAATATTGCTCCAATTGTTTATTATTCATATTATTACTGCTTGCACAGGTTGAGGAGTCTCGAGTAGATTCCTGCAGAAGTCAGCGGACTTCGGGGTCCCCTTCATCAGCAATCTTTTTAGAAAAGACCTTATGCCTAAGGCAAGGGTTTCACGGCCGGATCTCCAAACGCCTTCTCTTTCTTTAAGCCTCAACAGCAGCATCTCTGCAGCCGATTTGGATCTCTGCCACGTGTAAACATGTGTCGTGTGTATCTGCTGAGGAGTTCCCCCAAATTAGGCCACCTGTTTTGCACAGAAGGTGGAGGTTCAGTTCCTGGTTTCTGGATCCATGTAATGATGGGAGATCCTCCTTGTCTGAACTCCTAGCAGCTATTACTGTTCATCAGCACTGACCATTCTGAGCTGGGTAGAATAATGATCTGACTTTGTGTAAGACAGTTTCTTATCCTGCTTTAAACTGCCATTGGAGAACACCCACCCTGGACTCCCACAGACTTCCCAGACCACAGACCATAAATAAGAATGGAATACAGAAAGGCCTCTAAATGTATACCAAATTAAACCAATGTCACCCACAGCAAAAGAGACTGAGTGAATGTGTATGAGTGTGTGTGTGTGTTTTAATCCAGTTTTGTTCACCGGTGAGAACAATCAGGCCAATAAGGAAGAAAAACATCTCTCTGAGTTTTGGCCAAGACGCCGTGAATCTGATAGAGAGAACTGCTTTTACATCATCGTAAATTTCTCTTTCAGAGGCTAAATGAGTTGGTTCTTTGCGGGTTTTGCAGCAAAGGGCTAACAGGGCTCTTCCACCATAGACTGTGAATCTTTGTTTTAAAAGAAAGGAAGAGGGGAAAAAAAACTCACACAGTTGGATCCAACTTTAGTAAGCCTGTGAGCAAACCCATTGAATGCAGTGGGGCTTTAGTGACCAGCCTGCCACGTTGATTTCAACAGATCTCCTCTAAGCAAAACTAAGTCTATTTCCAAGCCATGTTCTTGATGCTCAGTTTAAACAACCTTGATTATACTTATGATGCTTCCCTGATAAAGCTATAGTTGTTTGCTCTTCTGCTATGGTCTATGGCAAAAGCAAATACATTTGAATTCCTCACCAATGGAAACCTTTCCCAAACGTTGAAGTAGGGTATCGTATATATTTTGACAGAGAATTGGTTTTCCTTTCACAAGGGATGAAGGGACAGGGTTTTCTAATTTCTCACAGCGGTCCCTGGAACAAATCCCTCTTCCTGAATTTAAACCAGAGAGAAGGTTCCCTTCATTGCCAATTTCTCCAGGGCTGGAATTTGGACCAAGTTGGATTATCTTCCTAGTCAAAATATGACACACTGTTGGTTCTGGGCCAACTGCGAAGTATATTTTGATAACAAGGTTGCAGTTCTTATAAACAAGAAGGAATCTTGAAGGCCATAGTACCCCTTAATTGTGCAAGACGCTCAGTGAAGAGATGAAATGCACCAAGCTCATGTGATTTGTGTCATTTCAGAACAGTTGCAGAATCAACTTAATTGGGCCCAAATGGTCAGGCTCAAATTAGCCAACTTTGGACACATTATGTGAAGACCCAGCTCTCTGGAGAAGGCTCTGATGCTGGGAAAGGTGGAAGGAAAGAGAAGAAGAGGATGACCAGCAACAAGGGGGATGGACTGAGTTACAGCTGTAATGGATGCACCTTTGGAAGATCTGAAGGACCAGGTTGGGGACAGGTCATCATAGAGATGTTCTGTCTGTGTGGTGACTAAGATTCAAGAACGATTTGATAGCACATAATCAGTAAATCTATCAAAACTGCCACATATTATGTTGAGTTTCTGAGTCTCAAGTGGAACTATCACAGATATTTGCTCAGGACAACTTAAAAAAAATACAAAAGATTTTACTGGTCTAGGTGGCTATTTTAGTTCTCAACAATGACCCCAAATGGGTCAATCTCCAGTGTCCTATATGGTTAAAAAGTGCTGGTGATACTATTGTGGAAGGCAGAGAGGGAAGGAAGGTGGATTCCATTCACAAAAGCCTGGATCTGACATGTTTTTGTGGTGGCAACCATGAATTCCTCCCCTCATATACCAATGCCCCAGAAGTTGGCTCGACTGCCAGAATGTGGAAGGGAAAATATGTCAGTTAGGGCTACAATATTCAAGATGCAAAATGTCCCATGCCCTGTGGATGGCAGCAAGGGGAGTTTTTAATGTGTCTTTGCTGCCATCTCGTGGTGGTTTGTAGTTTTGCAACACAGATCTAGAAGTCCAGTTGTCACTAGGTATCTCCCAGAGTTTCCCCCGTTAAGGGATCATGTCCATAGATTAAAAAACAAACCAGGCTCTGACTTACATGTAATTAAATTTGCACGGTAACCCTATAATCTTGATTTCTGCACAGAGCAGGCAGATAGATTCAGTCACCTAAACAGTGCCTTCAATTCCTTGAGTCTATCAAACTGTCTTCAGAAGAAAGCCCCAGTTCAGAAAAGACCTTGCTGTCTAAATCTAGCCAGATCAGAAGACCTTGCTGTTAGAAAAGGATACCTAGCATTGCATTTTTAATATGCTACAGAGAAATTAGTCCCCTAATGTAGAACAAAGCTCTTTTTTTCCCATACAAAGAAATATTTCAGCATGGCATCCCTTATCCATTGCCTAAAGCAGTGTTTCTCAACCTGGTCAGCTTTAAGATGTGTGGACTTCAACTCCCAGAATTCCCCAGCCAGCGAGGACTGTTCCAGTCCTGCTATGGAGTGTGCGTGGTGTGAATCGTGAGTAGGTCTTTCCATGCAATCGTTCTGAATCTGTGGATTTGATCTGAAAGCATGGGGAAACCTGTGGCCCTCCATAGGTTGCTGAGCTCGGACTCTCAGAACCTCTCCCCATGGGCCATGATGGCTGTGGCTGTTGGAAGTTGTAGTTCAGCAACTTACGGTCAGCTACAGTCTTGTGCCTTAGACCCTTGGCATCTCAAAGCGAGCGAAACCAAGCTGTCCATCCAGTGTGTGTTTTATTTTCATTCATCTTGGACTCCAATAAAAGATCCCGAGTTCTTTCATTCATGTTGAGGGGGTTGGTGGAGTGGGGAGGGAAACCGGCTTTTCTGGTTAGTATTAAGGGCTGCTTGACACGCAGTGAAAAAACAGGGCAGATTTACTCATAAAGGAAATGAAAAGGGAAGTTTCTGCCAAAGCAAAATATAATGTATTCAGTGGTGTATTCAACCAGGAAAGCTTTCAGCCTCACAAAAGTTAATTTACAATAATTTCGCTTCTAGGGCTATTTTTCTTCTCCAGAGAGAGTTTACAGAAAATACGGAAGTTTTGGCCAGCATCCACCGTTCCCCTTTTGCTATAGTTTCCTTTCTCAGCATGTTGCTTCTATCCAACCAGTAAATATCGCCAGTCTTATTTTCACAGCCAACTCCAGGGTTGTGGCACGATCGGGGAGAGCGATTTATAAAAGGGCAACTTGCCCCAAAGTCTTTGGAATGGACACTTTGCTTGTATCCGAAAAGTGCAAAATTCTGGCAGTGGTGTTGGGCTTGGCAAACGGAAAGAGAGGAGACAGAGCAGTGCCCTTCCTTTTTAGGAAGAGTTTCCCGGTTGCAACACTTCCATTCAAGCCTCAGACCCTCCGCCAAGAAAAATGGAGGAGAGCCTAGCCAGCACGAATGGCTCGGAATCCGAAAGAGGTTCTTCACCCCAGGTCTGAAAAACAAAAACATGTCTAGGAGTCCGAGAGTTCAGATGGAGGCACGCCAACAGGAAACTTTTCCAGCAGAGAATCCGGGGTGAAGTTTCGTCCACACCAAACAGCCTTGAGGAACTGGGATGATCTGGGAGGAAAGGTGGCAACTGCCATTTGGGGGACCTGAAGAAGATGCCCCCAGTATTAAGAGAGGGAGAACTTGCGCTGTTCTGCTATGCCCCCAAAACATTCAACCCCCTTTGGAAACAACCCCCGTGCCTTGGGAGGAAGACCTATGCCCAGTTTGATATCCTATTTGCTGGTTTTAAGGGATTGTGGGAATGTTTCTCGGATTTTGTATTTCCTTATTTCAGAGGTCATTCATGGGGAAAGCGTTTCATTGCACGTTCAGTGCTCTGTGGATGATTGCCTTGAATCTATATGATGCAACAGCATATATATCCAAAGAAATACGCACACACAAACACACCCTGTTACTCTGAGCTAATTCTCTCTTGGTATTTCACCATAAAACATTAAACATGGCATGACAATGTCTTTTTGCCCATGCTCAGAAGCTATACTTCCTTAATGGATTCATGCCAAGAAGGTGGGTAACTATGTTGTCTGAATCTACAGCCAAGCTAAACATCCAACCACTTCATCCAGAATGAGTTAGCAACAGCTCCAAACATTCCTGGTCTTGTCTGGGAGCAAACTAACCCTTCTCCCTGTGTTATACAAACTCCTTCCTGGAAGGTTAACTATCTTTCTGGCATCTGGGAGTGGAATGAAATCTAGAGGGCTCAGAAAGATGTGATTTCCCCAGGCGCTCTCTGTCTGACATCATTTCTGTTTTCACTTTCCTCCTGTTTCCCCCCTCCTCCCAGCCACATCAGAGGGATAAAAAGGGCCGAAATGATAGATATGACTTCCCCAGACCTGTCTACAGTGGTGCCCAACCTAATCATTTTACAACAGCAGGAAGGGGGGGTAAAAATCACAGCTTTCCAGACCATCCAAAGGCTGGGTGGAACTAAAAATGAGATCCCCAGACAACCGATTGAGTCACCCAAGTTAGGTTACTTCCAGGACATAAAGATGAGTCAACTAACTAGCAGAAGGGTCATTTCTGTCATGCGAATGTTGCCACTTATTCAACGGATCCAAAGGAGGACCCATTTGATGACATTGTGACACGCCTGTCCTCAATTTGATGTCCTCCTGGCTCTTAATGGACATCGTTGCCAATGGGGCCTGCATATGTGATGCCATCTGAGTGTGTAAGGGACAAAGAGAAAAATGGGACCCAGAAAAATAAAAAAGTATAGCCAAGATTCATGTTGGTCAGCCTTACACACATATTTCTGTACCATAGAATGATGGCTCTTCTTTTCTTACAAAAGAGATTATAAGTTGTTTCTCTCCATGGCCTTGAGAGACTGTGGGGAGGCTGGGAAGGAATGCAAAAGACAACAGGCATGAACAATCAAGAGATGGCGGATGAGTCCATCAACAGCTTATCTCATGAGCTGCAATTTAGCTCAGGTGGAGAAAAATCGAAGAAGAAGCTTTTCAACACATTCAAAGAGATTAACTTGCTATCAGTGAAGCTGGGGAATTCCTCTTACAGATTCCAAACTTCTGCACTGACCCCAAGACTAGCATTAACAGGACCTTCTTGACATCGGAATAGTTCTTGCGTCCTTGGCTTTGCCCAGCTCCGTGGGGCCTGACACTGACACTGCCTTCTGGGAATTAATGCTCTGCTTGCTGGCAAGTCAGCTTTATAGCTTTTCCCAAGCTTTGTGCCATTTAAGCTTATGTTTGTTTATGCCACCTCCACCCGTAATTCTCCACCTCCTTCACTTCTGGCCTTTGGCAGATGAAGACTCTCCAGGGCCAGATCTGTGAGCCCGCCACTACAAACCTTTCCCACACGTAGTGCTGCATTCAGTTGCTCCAATTTGCTTCCAGTTGTGTTCCCGGCTGCGTCTTGGAGGCTGACCTACTGGCACTTGGTTGTCTGGAAGATGGGAAGGAAATCTTCCAGGCTGAACCATCACTGATTGTCTCGCGTGACTGCTAGTCTCCTGATGCAAATCTTCCTCCTCATAATTCACAGTCTCTGTCACATCCAATTGGCCATTGAATGACTCCCCTAGGCAAATGAGGTCAGTAACATCACAAGAATGTACACTTCTTTCTCAGCTCTGAGCCAGCCAGAATACAAATGGCAAAAACCCCACGAGGGCTTGGGGTGAGTAGATAAGGTTTGTTCTAGCAGTGAACCACAAAACACCAGGATGGCTTGAAATATGCAAAGGTCCTGGACTGTTTGGAATAAGACATTCTATTTGTCACCAGGACAAAAAGTTGAACATTTGTTCTTTTGCCAACACAGCATTCAATTAAAGTGTCCTTGCATGAATAAAATTGAAGCAACAAGAGGAAACACACCAGCTGGAAATTAAGGGGAGGGGGAATTGGCGTGAGAAAAATGTTTCTTTATTATACCCATAATGAAGAGGCATTTTCCCAAAATACATTTAGGCTTTGGGTAGAATAAAAAAAATTTTTTTTCTCATACCATTTCCCCCCTTATTTTCCATGAACAAAATCTGTTTCTTGGTAAGGGTTCCCTTCCTTTTGCATTTAGAGAATTGTGGGGCAATCCCCAGAAAGACCATATAATAACCTTTTATTAGAATTTAACTCTCTAAAGGAGTGAAGGTGAAACAAAAATAATCTTTATGAAGTTAAAGAAACCAGAGCTGGTAGATAAATCGATAGCCACTCAGATAACCTTTTGATAAATCTATCAAGACTGTGTTACATTCAAAGCAATGATGAAAAATGTTATACTTTACTTTCAGAGATAGTTGTACTGGATCCATCAGAGAGAAGCATTTCATGCTATGAAAGAGGGACAGAGGAATGTCTTTTCTAAGAAGGTCCCTGCCAATCAAGAGAAAGTGAAAGTCATCAGATTGGTTGAGGAAAGAATCGCGTTCTTACCTGGCCGCCTATGAAGAGGCACCTGCGAACTGATGGTGTTGGGACCTGGAATAGTGTACTCATAATGTATACCTGGATTGGGCTGCTGATGAATCATCTGTGAAAGGAAGAAGAACCTCATGTTGGTCTAGTTTACTGTGATGACAAACCCAGTATCAGCCCCACTAGGTAGACCAGACCAGCAAATCAACTCCATTGAAAGGCTAAAACTACAGGTCATCCTTGTTTAGCGACCACAATTGGGACCGGCAACTCGGATGTTAACCAAAACTATCGCTAAGTGAAACCACAGCTGTGCTTATGATCTGACTTCAGCTTTCCTTTGCTTCACGGACCTGCAAAGGTTGTAAATGCAAGGAGTGGTCACAAAGTTATTTTTTCATCACCGTTGTAACTGTGAACGGTTGTTAAATAAGGCAGTTGTTAAACAAGGACTACTTGTACTTTGATTGAGATTGGCTGTCATAACAGAATCTTGCAAGTCTGATTATGCTGGACTTCCTTCCTTTCTTATGCTTCTGTGAATTAGGGAGGTGTCTGTCTGTCTTTTCCAAATATGTTCTGTCTCTTATGGACTTAAGATATGCTTTCTCCCTGATCACTTTGGTAACAGAACTTGCATATCTCCTTCAAGGTCATCTTCCTTACGCTCTACACACAGGCCACGTGTTGTCCCTGGTTACAGACATGTTTCCACAATGCAAACAAGACTGTCATCATCTTTCCCAGTTAAAAGACTTAGCCTGAGTGCTGGTAGGATGTGGCAAAAGGTGGCTGGGTCTGTCATGCAGTAGTAAAGGATGCTGGGAGATTGCCACTTCCCTCTTCAATTTCTGCCCTTTTTGTTTCCCTTTTGGACAGGGGAAAAGAGTTAAAAACCGCTGGTGGTGTTATTAGGGTCATTACCCCCACAAACAACTTAGCTTTATTCATCTCCACCTTCTCAATTTCCACATCGGAGAATAGGTCATAAATAAATAAATACACATGCCCAGACACCTGACTTCCTTCTCAACATATCCAAGTAGGAAATTAACCTAGAAAACTATTTTATCTATGAATAAGCAATTTCCCAACTTCTAATGATTAAGGATGGTTTCTCTAGGTTAATAAAGAAACAGTATTACAATCCTAGATCTTTGCATCTTACATAGACATCCAGGATTTCATTTGTCGGTCCATCTGCTAAAAAGGATTCCCCAGCAGTACTCGAGATTTCATTGGGTCGTTTGTAGATGAACATTGTTCCTCCTCCCTCGTATCTCCCAGGTCGATCAATTGCCCAGTTTCCATTGATAATAGCACGTCCTGATCGACTCCGTAGTGCTGTAGGAACAACAGGAAGACAATAATGTAAGTATATATATATATATATA